TCTAAGATTCTTATTTTGGTTACTTTTTCGCTAACAATTGGAAAAGTTTTCAGATGTTGAGATGCTCAAAACAGGAACTTGTGTACATGGAATGCAATTTAATAATATCACTGAAATTATATTTATAGACTTAATTGTAATACAAAAGTGCCCCCACTAACAATTTACCCACCTTGTATGAAAGTGAACGGCTGGTACAAATGGGTCATGTTGCTTCAGGACTTAGTTAATGACAGAAGTTCTGTTAGAAGTGAAGGGTGCAATTATACATTCTTCTCATAACTGAAAATAGAGGAAGGAATTTGTCTTCTGTATAACTTGGGATTAACTTGCAAAATGAATGATCAATTTGGGCCCCATCTTACAATGTATAAAAATTCTAAATATTAATGTATATTAAGGAGCATTTAGGACAAAACTAAAACATCATATTTAGTTAAAGGAAAATGATAGGTTATCAGCTTGCTGATAGTTGATGATATACTTTCAAATTTTAAATATATATTTTCCCCTCTAGGTTGGTTCATTGACACTATTTGTTACCCATTATCCTCCACTGTGTGAGTTGGAAAGAGCTTATCCGATCCATGTTGGGAACTATCATATGTCTTTTTTAGTGAATGAAGATTATAGTAAACCAGAAGATGGTATGACATCAAATTTACTAGACTGATAACTTGTTCTCAGCAATTCCTTAAAGCTATTTGGTTATCTATGTCAGAGTTCCCCAACCTTCCTGGGTTGGCGGCCTGGGGGAGGGGAGAAAGATTTTGTAGTGGGGTAGGTGTATGTTCATGAGTGCCCACTACATTCATGGTGACATTCACGTGAGTGGGTCGCAAGTGCACACAACGAGGCTCGCACAAGTGGGGCCGTGAGCACCTGCAATGAGGCTCACGTGAATGGGGCCGTGAGCACCCTTGACGTGGCACTGTTCATGCAGTCCACAAATGCGAGTGCACTGGCCGGCCACTTACAGGTTGGGGACCCCTGGTCTATGTCTTAGTTTCAGTCATCTCAGTAGGAGTTAGGAACAATTAATATGATTTAAAATTAAATTAAATTCAATATTTAGCAATAGAATTAGAATGACTGAGTACTAGTTGTCTATGGTGGGTAACAAGGATGTCCAAAACTGAACATTCAGAAAAATCCCAGAATTCTGTTTCTTCTCTGAGTGATATTTTGGCTTAGTCCTTATTCAGAAATTAATTCTCTGTTCTTAAAGGGATCCTAGTATTCCTGATATGTTTTGTCCTAAACCTCATAACAATTCCTAAAGCTCTTTCAGTTTAGAGGATCAGGTTCCATAAAACTGCCAGACAATGTCTAGAATAATTGAATCAACATGATCCAGAGAAGAAATTGAATTTTTTGGAGTTCTATTTGTAAAACTTTGGGATTTGCAGATATCTGATTAAAAATAACTTCAAAAACGTACTGAAAGAGTTCATTATAAAGTGATAATAAGTACACTTTTTCTTTTTAGATTTTGAAGAACAAAATAATCTTGACTGTGTTACTTTCCTTTATCAAATAACTAAAGAAGTTGCTGCAAGAAGCTATGGTCTAAATGTTGCTAAACTAGCAGGCGTGCCAAAAGAAATTCTTAAAAAAGCTGCTTATGAATCAAAGGAACTAGAGAGATCAGCTAATGTGAAAAGGTTAGATAATAGATTGGCTTGCTTTGTTCTGTAATACAGTATTTGTAAAGGTCAAGGAGAAATGCAACTCAGAAGTGTGCATGTATGTTTATGCACTTGTCTGTGAGAGGAGTTGTACATATTTGCAAAATAAAGGGAACTAATTTTAGAAATAGATAACTCTATATTTCTGTTAATGTAATTTTGTTTGCTCTAGGCTTTTCTGAAATGTGATTTCTGGCTTGCATGTATGTGTGATGGGGATACATGCAAATCCACATTATGTACAGAACGGTATAACTTGTAGACATTTACTGAGAATCTCTAGGATTGGTTTCAAGTGAGGTTAGCAGCTCCCGGTGTTAAAAGCTGAGTATCATGCAGATTTTTGCCTGTGTTTTCAATCTACTTTTTCTCTGATAAAATGCCTTCAGTACAAGTTTGATTTCTTCTCAGATAAACATGGTATGTGATATAAAGATTCCCCACTTTAATTCCTATAGTTAGAATGTAGTATTTATGCATTGACAAACATTTCTCTATCCAGCTCCCATGATTCCCAGCAATATAAATGTCAAAGTTTAAAGCCTTTTCAATTTAATTTTATTAACAGTATTGTGAGGAAAATATGAAAGCAGAATATATACTACTTTATTTAAACTAGAACTGGGTAGTAAACAGATTGTGCCTTTGTTACATATAAAAAGTTTAAATCAAGTAGGATTAAAAATAGTCTTTTGCATTATCATAATACTGATTTTTTTGGGGGGAGTCAACTTTTCCATTAGAGAAGTTTTCCAATGTGTTTGCCATCATATGGAAATATTTATAATTTAGTGTTTTAATCCTTATTAATATCTTTTTTTAATCTCTTTGCTACATTTTCCCAATCTTCAAGATAGATTTTCTACAATAATCTAGAAAAGAGTAACAGCCTAGAAATACATAGAACTAAGATATTTCTATATTAGAGATAGATCTTTAATACAAAAGAATGAATAGCTGACCAGAAAAGGGCTTGATGACAATATCCCCTTATTTTCAGATCACATGTCAATTGTTCCAAGGTAAACAATAAGCTTAGGACATGATCACCCTTGAGCGGTGGGGCTGAAATAACCTGAAATAGTTCCATAGTGGTCATGAAGTTCTGAGCAACTTTGGACCCAAAAAAAGGACCCAAGTCCTGCAGCATTAAAAACTTTAGAAATACCAGCCACACTTCCCTGGTACAACCCACCTTCTCATCACATTGTAATGTAATATAATGCCAGTACTTTATTTTCTGTAATGACAGTATTGTTGCAACTTGTTGCTATTTTATTAATCCTAGTATCTTCTGTGAGAGAATTTGGGAAAGAAAAAAATACACATAAAAAGCAAACAATTGAATGGGAGAATTTAGTCTTTGCAAACAGTTGTAATCTAATATGTTTTGATAAGCAGGTCAGTGTGTGTAATCAGTTGTCATGTGCAGAAGAAACACTAGAATATACAGTTACCTTTGATAACAGTAGAAAAAAAATATAACACTTTAATACTTTTTAATTGATTAGTCCAGTAGAAACGTTTTTAATATTTTTATTGTTTTTTAAAATAGTAACAGAAAAGAAAAAACAAGATACAAAACACAAAAATACATAATAAAAATACATGTGCTTAAAAATAAGTGAAAAAATACAACAAAAAATATAAAGTTTAATATGTCATTACAGTAAACAGTTACAATTCTATATATAATTATCGAATGCAAACATTTTGCAAGTAGGTATGTGTGAAATGAAAAAGTATATTCATTTCTATTATGTAACTATCATGCTTTTTAACCTACCGTATTTTGTATAAACGAATCCCATATTTTATTATACAGTATATTATACAAAGTTTATTTCTATAAGCAATCTGCTCATAAGTAGCAAATGAAATCAACTCTTTAATCCACTGAATACATGTGACCATACGTACATCTTTCAGTATGGCAGAACCAGTCTTTTAGCTACAGTAAGGCACAGAGAATCCATTTTTGTTGTCCAGTTGTCAAGTTCCATAGACTAGATATATAATTCAAGAAAGTATTATCCTCTGAAAAATTTAGCTTTTGTCACACAGTCACATTTATATCATCCACTATTTTCTCCTCAAATTAATAAGTATAGGACATTGTAAGAAATATGTTGTAAGGAAGTATTGACCTTACATCTCCAGCAAAATGCTGTCCTAGATAATCCTTTTCTATACAAGTGTAATAGAGTCCAATAATTTTTTTAAAGTATTTTTTGTTGTATAAGTCATAGTTTAAGCTCTATTGACACTCTTGCTAGAGAAGTTAGGACACTCTCCTGTTGGTCTAGGTCAGGGGTAGTCAACCTTGGCTCTTTTATGAGTTGAAGTCCACAAGTCATAAAAGAGCCAAGGTTGACTACCCCTGGTCTAGGTAATATAGGTTAACAAAAAAATAGTATGCAATTGCAGCAATAAAACAATATAATAAACACTATAAGACATTTCCTAATAGTAGCACAACCATAATATAACGATAGTCCTCAATTAATGACAGTAATTGGGATTTGAATTTCTAAGTAATGCAGTCATAAAGTGTGATGGCATGTGAATCCATCGCTTAGCAATGGCAATCCTGACAGTTCCCATTGCTGTCATTAACTGAAACCCGTTGTTTCTCAAGTAAAGACACATCCTGATCCAAGCCGTTTCTGCTTTGGTCCCTTCCAGATCTGAGCCTCAGTAAGGTAAGGGATTGACTCCTTTACCTCCCCTTGAACTCCCCTCTTGCCTATCTCCCCCAATCTCTTCCCTTTTGGCTGCCTGCATACCTGCTGCCATTCACACTACAGTGTGCATTACTTTTATACTAGCCACGGCTTCTTTCATAAGCTACCAAGGCCTTAGTTTACACTCCGGTTTGAAGGTCCATTTTTTGCAACTAGGGCCGTCTTTCACAAAAGAAGGCTATGGGTGGGATGTGAACACAAGGCCTTGGCTGCACCAGTGAGAAAGAACGTAGCACAAAAGTAGGGTCTGTGCAGGACAGTAGTGATGCATAGTGTGGCAGGACGAACTGGCAGCAGCAGGTAGGTGGTCATAAATGTCATTCAGTGTCATCGGTAACTTTGAACAATCACTGAATGTATTGAAATTAAGCAAGAACTACCCATAAATAATAGTGATTAATAAGAAAGGAGGTTATTCTGGCTTATAAAGATCTGTAAAAAGAAGAGTTTTAAGGAGCTTTTTAAACTTTAGGAAATTTAAAGATACATAGTATTAGAGAAGAAGTTGATTCCAGAGAGTAGGAGCTAAATGGAAAAAAGTGCTAAACTGTAAAGTGTTAATTTTAATACGAAGGAAAACTAATTGATCTTAATTGCACTATGAAGCTGAGCATGTGCCCTTTTAATTTAATTTTAAGTTAACTTTTAAATTAATGTAAGACTATTTTAGTGAATTTTCTGCAGAGATTTTGGGGTTTTTTATTGCAGCTTCCTTCTGATACAAAGCATGCTATGTTCATCTTGCATTATCAAGTAGGAAAGTATATTACTGTGTTTATCATTTATTGTATATAAATATTTTCTCCATATGAAATAAGAGTGGAGATACTTACATGTTGATTGCTGATGGGTTAATACTTTTTAATATTGAACTTTGTTTTTTAGAAAAAGTTTGATGTGTTTTGCAAAACTATGGAACACCGACGACATTGAAGAACTTCGAAGATGGAAATGTCTGTCTGAAGTAGATAATGATTTCAACCAATTTAAAAATTCCACAGAACTCTCCAACTAAAAATGAAAATAGCCTACAAGGTTTAATAATATCTCACAAAAAGAAATAGATGTGAATAAAGTAAAATTGTATATCATTTATGGATGTAGTGATAGATTTTTAACAACAATGCCTGTTTCGCATAATCATTTTTGGTATTTAATTTCTGTAAACTAACTTCAAGAACGAGTTATACAGAATGGAGTACATAAGCTAAAATGGTATAGCTGTTAAGAGCTCCTAGTATCCCCACTCAAATTAAAAGCAGCTTAAAGAGCCTTTCATCTCATTCTGTTTTCATAATGAAAATTACACAATTTTCACCTAGATTGGCATTTGTGGAGTGGAAAGAAATGAGCAGGTAATCAAAAGGTATTTCTGTGTTTTTTCTCCTCAGAATAACAGCTTAATGGAGGAGTTTGTTTAAGAAAATACATGGAATATAGAGGTTCTTTTCCCCTAGTATCATGGTGTTTTTACTTTTAAAGCAAGTATACACCATTTCACAGAGTTTTTGTCACCTTGTCAGACTCTTGTAGCTAGAAATCATTGCAAAATATATTTTATGTAATATCATCTTGATACAGTCATGGCCAATTATGAAAACAAAAAATGGTCCACATTGCATTATTTAATATCAGTGGATGTTTTTGTACTAAACTTCGAATTTTTCAAATTGCTTCTTAAAATCTGTTGACTTTATATGCTGAAAATAAAAATATTATTACATTTTTCTATATTATGTCTCAAGACATCACATTTCTCCTGCCCAAAAACTATATATCTGAGAAGCTTTTTCCTATTTGATGGATAATTATGATTGTTGATGGAAATATGAAAATTATGTAACTATAAATTATATTAAAATAAATTTCTATTTATACCTAGCTGTGAAAGATGTGTTCATTTCTAAAACAACTAAAATAGCAGAAGAATAAATTATTTCTTTGTATTTCACAGATGCAAAAGAATTTCTTATAGAATAGCACAGAATGAAGTTTTCATATTTGATATTACTATTCTTTTTGAAAAAGTAAATTGGTCTTTGTGCTTCCTGCAGAATAATGTTTAGATTAGAGTTAGCAATTTTCAATTAGTCACAGTTACAATTAATCAGGAAAGTGGCAGGATGGGTGGGAAGCCTGGGTGGATGGACGGACGGACAGACAGATACAGATCCACAGAATGAGAGACACAGATAGGATAGAGATAAATATATAGACAGATACAGATAGAAGATAGATCGACAGACAGATAGACAGATAGAATTATTGATAGACAATATAATGTAATATTTTCCAATGAAATGCAGAATTAACAATACAAGTATGCTTGAATACATATGGGAATGGTTTGAACTTTCAAATGGCACTCTGTACAGTCTTCTAAGATCAAAATGTAAACTGGAAAGTTCTAATACCCATTTTTTTTTTACAGTCTTGCCCATAATTTGCTAATGGTGTTGAGGGTGAAGAGTAAAGAGTATAGCTTTAATGTTGCCAGCAATTAATGAACATGAATTTACAAGCTCAAACAAAACAGTTAATTTGAATACATCAAGGTCAGAACAGATAACATTTATGAGATGTAAGTATCTCAGAACGTTAAACATATACAGTCACAGTAGATAAATAGTGTCTTAATATTTATTTAAAAACTCTCGAGGTGATACTAAATTTTGTGCTAACTGAAGGAACTTGCAGAATGCCTCTTTCTCCAATTCCTTATTATAAGGGAGTTCAGACATGCCTGGCTGGCTGTACACAAGCAGCTGAACTTGTCATGCCATGCTAGTGTCTTGTTTAGGAAAAGCAAGCTGCAACAAACTGGGAGATCGCTTAAAAGAAAAAAAATATTGCCCCAGATGGCTACCGCACTTTGCACGCTTCCTGTGTGGATTATATCTGGGGGAGTTGTTGCCATGCAACTGCAAATATATGCAAATGATTGTCCAATTTGGTGCTTACAAGTGCTGATAAGAATTTATTTATTTATATTTAAACTTCTATGCCGCCCTTCTCCCCAGAGGGACTCAGGGCGGCTCACAGCATGTTAAAAAACAACACAAAAAAACATGAAGGGATATACTGTAGATTTCAAGAGACACTTGATTATGGGGACTTGAGGACTTTTGTTAATCACAAAATTGCAAACTTCTCCCATTTTATTTATACATACATTCATGCATTTAAAATTATTAATTTTTTCCTGAATCACGTGATGGTTTGCAACAGAGAATACAAAAAAAATAAATCCTAAACTAACTAAAAAAGCTCTTTACCACCAATGCCCAAATACTCTGAGAAAAAAGGAAATATTCAGTGCCTTCTTAAAAGAAAAATAAACATTTCATATCTACCAGGCAAAGTGTTTCTGGCAGCCATTGTGAAAGCATATTGAAGGGTTCTCAGCCACCTTACCCTCCACCATTTTGTGCAGGATTTTGAAGACATCCATTAAAAAAAACAACGGAGCAAACTAACCCTTGCCAGGAAGATGATCCTGCAAGTTCCTGGAGGATGTAGGTTGTAAGACTTTAAAAGTAATCACCAGCACTTTGAATTCAATAGAGAAGCAATCTGGTAATGGAGAGCTGCTGTGGTATTGGTAACATTGCTGAATTTGTCCTCCCTTGTTTAGCAGACAGGCTTTTGCTTTTTCAGCAATTGAAGCTTTCGTCCTCAAAGTCAGTCTCATGTACTGTATATTGCAATAGTTTAATCTTCTGACACTTGCTGGCAATAGCTGGTCTTTTAAGATAAGATTTATTGTCATTTTGTACTGTGGGCACACTGGCACACATTAAAAATGAAATTCTGTTGCCTGCTCTCAAAAGTATATATATAACACGTATAAACATGCTACATATAACATATATATAACATACAATCTTTTCTGCCATCCTCACCACTCTGCACCACCTTCCTGTCTGAAGCAGTGATGCTTCTAAACCAGACTGTAATGCTGTATAATAGGATGCTCTCGATCGTCCCTCTATAGCACAGGTCTCAAACTCGCGACATCACATGGCGTGTCGCGACGTATTGCGATTTTTTTCCAATTGCCAGCAATGGGGTGAGTGCAGTTTTGGCATGATGCATCCGGTCTGTGGGCCAGCAGTTTGACACCCCTGCTCTATAGAAAGTGGTAAGGAAGATGTACTTTTCTCATGTGACGCAGAAAATGCAGGCGCTGCTCTACTCACTTCACCAGTGTCTCACTGTTGAGTGACCAAGCCAGTCTACTTGTTAGCTGCACACTCAGAAATTTGATGCTTCTAACCATTTCCACAGGTGAATCATTAATACATAGAGGAGTGTGGCTGTGCCTGCCTTTTCTGAAATTGACAATGATCTCTTTAGTTTTTCCAACATTTAAAACTAGGCTGTTTTTCTTACATCAGTTCATCAAACCCTCTGTCTCCTTGCGGTAAGCACCTTCCATTATAAATTGCAGACAATGATTGTGACCACAGTGAAAGTATGATTAATAATTTCTCAAAGCTTTATCAGTTTGATGCAATAACCTTGAACATTCTACTTCCTAGCTTCAAACTTTTAATTTATTTCTTTGCTTCACCAGCACTGAATTGTATGTACTCTTGAAATTCTCCAATATTGTTAATCACTTTTACTTCAAAAGCTTCCATTCTCACTATATTTATCAAAATTTATTTATTTGATAAATAGGTACTTCTTTCTGATAGTGTTAGAAAAAGAACTGTGCACAAGCTTTCTTCTACACCATTGTGCATTATTGCCTCGCGAGTCCCATGAGAATAAAATCAGTATTTAAAGCAACCTATATCTGTGATTCTTTGATGAGTATTTGTGATAAATCCATTCTCATTATTTGAGTAAGATGCCATTTTGACCTGCAGGAATAGAGCAGGTATGTTGAAGCCACATGTCTTTCTGAGTAGCTAGTAGTTTGCTCTTACAGTATATTTGATGATGTGTCACTTTGTGGCTCATTATTATATATAGGAGAAGTCTTGTTTTTGTGTCATCAAGTCAACAGAATATAGTTATAGCAGTGTAAAATAGTTGGATTACTGTTTTTGCTTTCCTTTCCTTATTACTTCCCTCAGACTGACATTCATGGAAGCACAGGTCTGGTGTGGGCAATGATAGGGATCTAAAACATGATCAAGACTTGAAATTTTTGGTTCTTTAAATAACCTTCTAAATAATAGAATTTAGAAAAGGTGTGGTTTAAAATTTAAGTCTGACTCCCTCAAAGGATTAAATGTTACTGACTACAAAAATAGATAAACAAGACAAATTTTAGTTTTTCCTAACTCTAAAAGTCTAACTTCTATAATTAATTTCTTCTGTGTATCTATGTAGGCAGTATTTTGATTAGTCAGTATCATTAATTACTTTTCAGATATTGCTGTATTATTTTAAAATTAGAATAGAGACTAAAATCCTCCTGGGTAAGCATTAAAGACGAAACATGCATTAGATGTTCCTGCTTGGTTTAAGTATGAAATTAATTCTGCATAAAATAAAAGAACTGCAAGTTTCAAGAATTTATTTAGTTTAGTTCTTAATTTGAGATAAGTTCCATTCATATATTATTATGAACTGAGACTATTATCTGAAGCAGCCAAGGCTTCATCTTTTGCTCCTGCCTTGTCCAGTTTTGATAACAGCCTATGTATTTTTCTTAAATAGTTGCATGACACAGTAATGATATAGCTATATTTGAGATTCACAATGGCCTCTTTTTTAAAAAAACTGTGAAGTCTTAAAAGAGGGAGAAATACTTAATTTTAAATATGTATTGCAAGTTCAATTCTATTTGGAAATTTTATTATATTCATTTGTTGACATTTTGATCACAGTTCAGCAGACAAAATGTTTAAAGTTGGTATTCTATGTTTCTTATATCACACATTATACTGTATATGGCTGCACAGACATGTCAGTCACTTTTTGAAGAAACTTGCAAGGAATTATTGACCAGTTAGGCAAAATAACACACCAACAATCAGAGAACCCTGGCTGATCACTAGCAGACAAGTATGTTAGCAGCTGCCTATTGAACACCCTACTTTATCTTGTCTTTGCAGCAAGAACAGTCTTAATAATCAGGAACTTGCTAGGAAGAAAATATATCATTACAATCAAATGGAGATACCTAATTTATTGTTCCCTGTGACTGAAGCAAGATTTCTCCTGGTGATTTCCTAATTACCAAAGCCCCGTTCTGATACGAGCCAAGCAAGAGCAATTCCATATTGTGCACTGGTGTGATAAATTATAACCACATTTTGTGCCACTGCAATCTATCTGTGTGCCAGATTGTGAACAATAAACCAGATTTTTAGCAATGCAATCTCTATATCAGCATGCTAGTTTATGAATAAGTGTATTGTTACTTAGCATTCATCTATAGCAATTACTCTTGCAATTGTTAACTATCATAATCATATTAACATAATAGTTTTTCTGAATATGCAAGCATGTGTTAAATGATGATGATAATGAGCCCAGTATGAAGAGATCAAGCATGATTTTATTTTATACATTTGATTTTGTAAGGCCACTGAAAGTTGTATGACAATGTGAATCTAATGCTTTTTTTAAAAAAAAAATCCATAGTATTTATTTATCTGAGAGCCAGTTTGGTATAGTGTTAAGGCATCTGGCTAGAACCCAGGAGACCACGAGTTCTAGTCCTGCCCTAGCCAAAATTGGGCCAATCACTTTCTCTTTCCTTAGGAAGGAGGAAATGGCAAACAAAAAATCCTTGCCAAGAAATTGCAGGGACTGTCCAGGATTCATGATTCTGCCATGACAAAATGGAAGGAAAAAAAGTGTTTAATTTGCAAAAACCTCTTTAAAAG